CTCTCACCCTCATATTTTCTCTAATCTTACACTTTTCTTTCTTCCATCCCCCCTCTACACTCTCTGTCATTGCCAGTGGGCAGATACCTCAAGGGGAGACATCTGCTGAGTAGCTGCTCCATTATCATTGCTGGGGAGCCACTGTAATGGAACCACACACCTACACACACCTACGCACACGTGCTGCCAGGTCAAGCATAATTATGGCTCAGAGTGTTTATACCATAAAAAATGATCAACTTATGAGATCAATACTGTGATGCCAGATAAACATACAAACGTGCATGTGTGTTGGCTATTGCTGAAACAGGACATCATTATGATTCTATATTGTCATCGCCAACCCAAGAAAACAGAGCAGCTTGGTCTGGTTTCCTCCTCACTCCGCCCACCCTTCCCTTTCTGCCTGTCTCTCTTTGACAGTGATGACTGGCTCACAAACACATAGCAACACAAAACACGTGTTCACTTCATCCATCAGTGCCGATAAGTCCTCTCTGTGCAACACTCCGTCTTTCACGTTCCCTCATCATTTTCTTGTTGCTGTCAGACAAACAAATGAAGGCATGTCCGCAGAGAGTGCACATCTGTGTGTCTCAGCGTGTGTCTTTTGTGAACATGGGGGGAGGCATGTAGATAAGCCTGTAACATTTCTATTTTTGAATGGAAAAAAAGCGGAGGCTAGCAATCGGTTTGCAGAGGAAGGAGAAAAAGGAGCAGGGTCTTGTGCCAACTGGTAGGATGCAAGTGAAAAGAATCACACAAGATGGTATGTAGGTGGTAGTCATGGTGGAGATAGTGTGCGTTCATATGAGCGTTAGAACAACTGAGTGTACATGCCCATGCGCATACATCCATTTCTACATGTGCACGAGTCGAACAGTACTGCATGTGTTTGTGGGCCTATCTGTTACTTCTGCTGCGCAGGCCTCTGCAAACAATGTGGCCCCCATTGGATCAGCTCTGATGTCTTTTTAAGCAAGAATCCCTCACATGTCTAATGCCTTCCTGAAACAGTGTACAGAGAAACAGTAGCTCTGGCACTGCAAGAGCCACTGGAGGTGGGCTTCCTCAGAGAGATCTAATAAAACACAAAAGCCATAAAGGTAAACCTGAGACTGCTCTCAACAACAACCACTTTAAACAACCTGTTTAGAAGTGACTGAATTCAGTCTGGAGAACAACCATCCTCTCCAAGTAGAAAAGGCAGAAGTAGCATTAAGACTGCAGCTCATGGTCTTTCTCTGTGGGTTCTTTGATTTATAACATCAAGATGATAGTAGGAAAACATGCCCATTTTATATCATTGGGTGCTGAATCCTCAAAGGAAAAAAGTGCACTGAGGAAGGGCGTCAGTCTGAAACATCTGTGCTGTATAAGGAAAATAATTATTTATTGGAGTACTGTCCTAGTTTCCATTGTTCTAACATTAACCATGACCATGATTCTTCACTAATCTTACTTTTAGTACTTTTAGCTGCTTTAATGTAATCGGGCAAGAGCATCTGGGAAGCTTAAATAAGAGAATGTTAAGATTGTTTTACTTAGAAACGACTAAAATAGTTTTCTATTATCAAAAAAGTTGCCAAGAACCCAAATTGGCAGAACGCAATAGGAAAGACCGGTTCATAGAACAGTTATCAATACACAAATATAAAGTGCTTTACTGAGTAGCAAATAATCTGATTCATTAGAATGACTTCTAACACATCTGTCAGCATGGTCATATCTGTGTTGATTATGCACCTCTTTGGAGCCGAACTTGGCCAGGTAGACGGCACTGCGCTGACATCTGTCATCCAAACACACAGGGAGGAGGTGGTCTTGATAGCCATCACCATCTGCCAGAAACAAACACAGAGAATTAGACTGAGAAGCAACAATGTTGGATTGAACCAGTGGGAAGCCTGATTCTTTGTTTTCTAAAAGTGTGACATTTTAATATTTTCATACCATCATAATACCTCGGATTTGTTCTAGAGCCGACTTTGCGCACAGCACAGTTTCTGGCAACAAAGAAAATTGCTTCTGTTTTTCCATGTGTAAGTTGGATCACAGGAACACCTGCTTGTTGTCTATGTGAAAACATGCTTCCAAGCAACACTTGGCTCTTTGATGCCTTTTAATAATGTCAGTTAACTTGAAGTATCATTTTCTACACTGATTTTTATCACTACTACATATTATCGTAATGCCATGCGATCTTTCTCTAACGTACAAACAGGGACTGAGCCTCCCAAATCAAAACAACAGCTCTTCAAAGCACATATAGTTCAGTGTACCAGGTTCAGCTTCAGATTACACACACCACATACACACACACACACCTAACATGACAAAACAATCCCTCATTAAGTGATGCTGGGGACATGTTTTCCTACGTCTTCAGGCCCACGACTCTGAAGCCAGAAACAAACTAGACCATTGAAACACTGTAAGGGTGCTGAAAGCTGAGTCAGATGGAGGGAGGAAATATAGAAATGGAATTCAGGCCACTGAATATAAATGTAGCCTAAGGTGCAGGACACTGGTACCATATGCCATCATTAATGTTACTACTTGTACTACACCTGTGGTTTTCCTGTTAGTGTAAGGCTGCAAGAACTATCTATCAATGCACAGCGTACTGCATTCTAGGAAACACATTGTATAGCTACATAACAGAAAGAGCCAAACAATACATCCTTTTAACATCAGGTATTTGCTGTGCTGCATAGCTTTTCAGATTTGGCTATTTCATAAAGGCACCGCACGTGCACTCTGCGTTCTGGTGTCAGCATGTAAACTGACACCAGACAAAAAGAGGTGAAACTGCTTCCAGGCTATCACAGAGCTATTCTGAATTCTTTTCAACAGGGGCAAGTGCAGTGCTCCCAAACAAATGTTTTGCCATGTGGAAGGTGAAAACTGAATGACACTGATGAAGAATGACAGTACAAAGCAGGGGAGGAGGAGAAAACGAACATGGCTTTCGGGGCCAAATGAGTGAGTGAGGTTTTTATTGTGGCTTAATACAATGCAGATTATAAGTCATCAAAGCATTTAATATGCTATTAAATTTTGAGCTCACACTATGTTTTTTAAAACAAAATAAGAATGTCAAACTTTCTGTGAGGGAAGGCAGTTATACTTGTTTCCAAAGGTAGATACATTTCTGATCTGATATTCTTGAAGCCAGTGGTACAAAAACTCTGGCAGAAACATCTTGCACAAAACACATTTTCAGACACACCACTGTACTTTGATGTCATCATAATGCAATGTTATTGTAGCCATCATAACAGTGACAACAATAAATCATTAATTAAAAAAACTAAAACCTAAATGAAAACATGGGTCAAAACACTGGGTGTATGCAGCTTTATGAAAAACAGATTTCTTTTTGTATACTTTTAAAATATACTTGTTTCTAACAAATTTTGTTTAAAATATTGGAAAATGATCTAAAAATATGTCTTTTGCAGAGGCAGTGAGGGTGACAGTAGTCCAAAGAGGCTCCAAACCAGCGCTTCTCTCCTCCTGGCCATGTGGAATCTCCAGAGCTAATAGCTAAATCCTGCCAGCAGCTAAGTGATCTCATGGCTAACAGCTGAGGTCTGTCTTAAAACCGTGTTCTTCCTAATTTATTGTGTAAACCACAAGGTTCCGATTTCAATCTAATGTGGCTTTAGATAAATAACTCATTTTCCACCATCGCTAACAACAGACTGTTGGGTCATCCATTAAACCCAGTCATCTCTGTGTAGTATGAAGAAGTGTCGCCCCCATAATTTTCCTTGTTTACATATTGTAAATAAATGTATTTATCTTATATCTGGCTTCATCATGTCATCTTTGGGTCTCTCCTATTCTCAGTAAAGCGGTCAATGAACTGGTAGAGTTCACTGCTTTCAGATGAGACAGAATTAATTACTCTTATTGACCACTTCATAGTGTGTGATAGTACTTAAACTAGCTGGTGCCCTAATCTAACGAGGTACTGAATATTAAACATTCATATCCATGTTCATAAGAGTAGTCATTTCCGCTATACCTGTTTTACAAAGGTAAGGTGTGGAGTTTGAAATACTGTATGTAGGTATTTACAAGGCAGGAAAGGTCTAACAAAATGAGGTTGTGATCAAGTTGCATTATGGAAAATGTAGGGTTGAGTCCAAGCAACCAAGCTCTAACATTATGGAAGTGAAAGACTTTCACTTTCATTCTTTCAGCACACATACTTCACTAACTGCCAGTAGGTGTAAATTCTAAACAACTTATCTGTTAGCAGATGGAAGCTTCAGAAACACTTTCTCATTAGCTGTATTACTGTAGGTGTTATGAAACAAAGTGAAATTGTGAGTACAGGAGCAAGGAACCATCTTTCCCAGTGCAGACAGAGACAGATGTGTACATGGTGAGGTACTGTGTAAGGACAGAAACAACGACACAGGCAGAGAGAGAGACAAAATGAGTGCTAATGCAATCCTACAGAGGGTGTCACTTGCCATTCTGTCTCTGATGCTTACAGTCAGTTCTGCTGCATGCACACACAGAATAACGTTCCGCACTCTGTCCCACCTGTCCTGTCCTCTATGAATGCCTTTCATCTATTCATCTCTCTCGCTTTTATTCCTGTTACGCTCTCCTTTACCCATCTCCTCTTGTTTCTCCTCCTCATCCTCTCCTGGCTCACTTTGTCAATCACAGTCTTTTACGTTCTTCTCAGTCTTACTGGCACCGTTTCTCTGTGCATCTCTCCTCATATATATCCACTCTCATTCTCTTCATCCTCTTGCTTTTAATCTCTACCTCCCACTGATGATGCATAGTGTGATAGAGATTGGCTGAGAGGGAACTGCAAGTATGGGTTGAAACAGAGAAGGATGCAAGGAAAGGGAAGGTCTGGGAAGGATAAGGATAATCACCTTTATTGGCCTTGTTACACACAAGGAATTTGTTTCCGGTACAGAGCCAATGGCAGCCATCTGCAGTGCCAACTCAATGGATGGCTCTAACCAACGGTGGGGTTCAGTGTCTTGCACAAAGACACTTCGACATGTGGACTTGCCTGCACCAAGATTTGAACCTTCAAACTTCCGGATGGGAGACGACTGCTCTACCAACTGAACCACTGTCGCCTCTCCCCACTGTAAAACACTATACAGATGTATTTTGCGACACACTGGCATTCAGAGCACAGCACAGCACCAATAACAACGCAAATCACAATATGCAAACGCACGAGCACCCACTGTGGGATGCTACCAGAAGTCCGTGTCTCACTATGATCCCTGTAATCTGATATAAAGCTCTGGATTTCATTTGACTGCTAGATTTAAAAGCGCGTGTACACGAAGGCACATGTGGTCATGCACATAGTGATGAATGAGGTCCATTTCAGGCATAAATCTAATTGAGCTAGTTTCCAATTTTTAGTCCGAGTCTTGATTCTGAATGGTGCATCAATGGAAAACTGCCCCATAGATCAGTAAGAGCAAAAACCATAGACTGTCAAAGCACAGTAATTGTAGGTACTTGTGAACAATGCTTTAAAGTGAGGATGAATTCAGCAATAATACATGAATTGTTTTTATTTATTAAGTCCATACAAAGTGCAGTAAATAGAGAAAACCTAAATCTAATCAGTATTTGCTGTGAACACCCCCGGCGTTTAAAACAGCACCAGTTCTCCTCTGTACACTTGCATGAAATTTTTCAATGTCCTTGGCAGGTAGGTTGTTACAAGTTAGAGAACCTGTCATAGTTCTGTGGATTTAGTGTGTCTCACTGTCTTCTCTTTATGTAACCCCCGACAGACTCCATGATATTGAAATCGAGGCTCTGTGGGGGCCAGACCATCTGCTACAGAACTCAGTGTCCTTCTAGATTTTAAGCACTGAAAACACCTAAAACCTTTGCACAGTACTCTATATTGCAGTCTGACACCATGGGATGACTATTATTATTCTTGTTCTTACTTCAATTACTTCATAATTTGGGGGTTCTGGAAGATGTAAATGAAAAGTACAATGTTGCTACAGAGTCAGTTAATTAGATGTGGGATAAGCACCTCAATGCCCTTCATGTGCTGTGCGGCATAGTCGCCGTACAGCACCAACTGCTGACTATGTAGGTGATCCTAATCAACAAGCCACACCACCTGCTCTGCAAACACAAACTACGACTGAAAGATTTCTCTTTTTACAACTTTAAAATTGATAAAAATATAGTGCTAATTAGAGTGTACATCATGGTGGGTGGGTCACATAAGAGTACTACTAATGCATTATTACTCAGCAGCAGATATTGGAAAAAGAAAGAGGGAAATGTGGGTTTTACCTGCACTGAAGGACACTTTTGTGTCTGATGCACTGTGCAATTTGCATGAAACTGCATATTAAAATGTGCAAATTATTAAAGGAACCTGGAAACTGGAAACCCAAGAGAACTGATCATTTGCTTTTGGACTGGAATATTTCTAAATGCAAGGGATATCACAAAATGGTGCTTGATTAGAAGACTTGAATTTTTCCACTGCTGCACTTTTTACATCATTGTTTGGAGGGATGCCTTTCACATAAACACAGATGTGCAGTATAATAAAATGCCATAATGCTTACATAACTGACATTGATCTTAACTGGCCAAGCAGCACTCCAGTACCTCTGTTTTCACAGGTACACCCATATTTGCAGGAGTCTGAGACAAAGAGAGAAAGTGACTTAGAATGTGAGACAGAAAAAGCAAAGCAAGTGAGAAGCAGGAGTACAAGACAAGACAGCCAGTGAATGTGGGAAATATAAAAGGAAATGAAGGAAAGAAAAAAGTGTGAGAGGTATGCAGTGGTTGAGGAGAGAAT